AAATAAATAAAATCTTAAAAAAAATATATATATATAACTTAGGGAAATAGAGTAAAGCATAGGAAATAAAGTCAATAATATTTTAATAACTTTGTATGGTGACAGATAGTATTTGGACTTTGTGGGGATCAGTTCATAACATATAAAAATATCAAATAACTATGATGTATACTGAAATTGATAGGATATTGTATGTCAATTATACTTCAACTAATAAAAAAATAAAAACAAAAGGAACAATATGAAAATACCTAGTAGAATAGATTATTATTACAATTGCCTTCCCCATGAGTCCCTAGATTCATTATAATAAGTCACAGGATATTGAGCTCACCCAGATGGGGCGCTGAGCCCTGCCTTCTCCTGGGGGGAAAGAATTAAGCCCATAGAGAATTATTAATGATGCTGATTCAATCCTTCTATTCTGAACAGTGGATCCAGATCCCTAACAACAAAGGCCCTGAGTTCTTGAAGAATACATATCATACCTGCAGTGATGCTCATGGGCTGTGATTTGTTAGGATATATGTGTTGAAAAGGTTCTCAGTGGAAAAGATGCAGCATTGGCTACAGGATGTGGAATCCCCATTCCTCTCCCCGGACCAGCGATCAGCATTGTTATCTGTTTTAAAAATTATATTTATTCTTTATTAAGTTAGAATAGTTTTATAAATTATATTTATTTAAAGTATACAACATGATGGGGGGAACTTGGGACATTGGCAGAGTAGGAGGACCCTGAGCTCACCCTGTCCCACGTTTTCAACTAGATATCATCAACATACAAGTCAATAAAAGGGAGAGTGACTGAAGCCTGACAGAACAAACTGCACAACTAAATATCCCACAGGAGAGAGGGAGCTGTTCACACAGACAGTGTAGAGAGATGGGTCCTCACCATGGGAACCCACATGGGGGAGACTACCCCATAATATTTGTCTTTAAAATCCAGAAGGGCTGAATTCCATGGTTTTTTTTGTTTTTGTTTTTGTTTTCCCATGGGTTTTTAAAACCAGTGGGACATGGATCCTGGAGATTTAAAGGTCAACTGACTCAGCACTTGGTGAGCCAGGAGAGCAAGTGACACCTGGGTCATGACCTGTAAAGATACAGCAGCATGTGCAGAGGGGCAATATAAAAAAAAAAGGCAATTTACACAATACTGGGGGTGAATGGGAGATAGATCTGTTCATACTGATTTCTGAGCATGTTGGGGGACTTCTCTGAAAAGGAGTGAGCTGGCAGTTGCCATTTTCCTCCCCTGCCCACCAGAGCCACCTGCAGGAAGTGGGGCTGCACAGACAATTGAAGCCTCAGCCCAGGGCTCATGGCACATTCTATTAAAGCTGTGAATGCCCCCGAAAAAAAAAAAAAAAAGGAGTGGGGGAAGAACTTAAGTGAGTTCTTCCCTGTTAGGGAATTGACCATAGTTCTGAACTTTTAGAATTGAAGAATCACAGTGCTGTGGACTGAATTATGACCCCCCATTCATATGTTGAAACCCTAATTCCAGTACCTTAGAATGCATATTTGAAGATAGGATCTTTAGGGTGGCTCAGCTGTTAAGCATCTGCCTTCGGCTCAGGTCATGGTCCCAGGGTCCTGGGATCAAGCCCCGCGTCGGGCTCCCTGTTCTGTGGGAAGCCTGCTTCTCCCTCTCCCACTCCCCCTGCTTGTATTCCCTCTCTCTCTGTGTCTCTCTCTGTCAAATAAATAAATAAAATCTTTAAAAAAAAAATAAAGCTGCAATTAACTAAAACGAGGCCATTAGAGTGGGCCCTGATCCAGAATGACTGGTGTCATAAGAAGAGGAGATTTGAACACACAGAGAGACACCAGGGATGCACAGACATGTGAAGACACAGACAGAAGTTACCATCTACAAGCCAAGGAGAGATGTCTCCGGAGAAACCAACCCTGATAGCCCCTTGATCTTTACAGAACTGCATCCTCCAGAACTCTGAGAAATAAATTTCTGTTGTTTTGGCTACTCAGTTGTTGTTGTTGTTTTGTATTTTGTTTTATCAGCCTTAGCAAACTAACACATATATTTCCATCACAGTTTGCCACACACACATTCATTAACAACCACAAACACACACACAAAAAGACAGATAGTGTATATCTTGCACTTGTAGAGGGGAGTCACCTTGAGGATTAGGATTTCAACATATAAAGGGGGGGACACAATTCTGTCCATAACAGTACAATTAGCTATAGAAATCTGAAGTTTGGGGGCGTCTGGGTGGCTCAGTCGTTAAGCGTCTGCCTTCGGCTCAGGTCATGATCCCAGAGTCCTGGGATCGAGCCCCGCATCGGGCTCCCTGCTCAG